GCGGTGGTCAAGCAGACCAGGCCGTGCAGGACTACGCGGACATGCGAGCGGACCTACGAGACTGGGCGGCGTTGTGGTTTGACGACCACTCGCGGCTGGCAAGAGACAGCGCGTCATGGCACGAGTGGTGCGTCGCTTTCGTTACCGAGATGTTCAACCAGGGTGGCAACAACCAGCTGCGGCAATTGCTACTCAGAATGTTCCCTCCGAGATCGTTGCAGGAAGTCATTTGTGAGTTGTGTGCAAGTTCTTGGAGGCAAAGAACCGCCAGAAGAGACGCATTCATACATCGACTGCAAGGTGCGTCCTATAGAACTTCGCCACTGGCGCGCACTGGCGGAGGTCAGAGAGATGTTTCGCAAGCTACTTCGAGAGCGAGCTCCAGACCGTCTCAATCCACCGCCCCCAAGGGATCCGTATCCTGGTGAAGATCAAGCAGTGGATCGTGCTGTGCTACTGCATCGTCGTATTGGATGGATCACTGCAGGGGATGGTACGTCGTCAAGCGATGTCTTGGGAGATGGTCAGTCTCATATCGGATGCAGGCCTAAGGCCCTGTCGTGCCCGAGTGAGGAGTCCGAGGTGACTGCGGAGGCGGCCTTGCCGCTTGGAGAGACTCCCTCGTCGACCCCAGTTCGGCTGCGGCGGCCATGGCAGGACGTGGGTCACCCCATATTGATGCCAGGACAAGTGCAAAGGACGAGTTCTCAAGACAAGGAACAGGCGAGTGCCAGCAGTGCTTCGACCCGGCCAGCGGCGAGTTCGACGACGGCTCCGAGGGCGAGACGCAGGATTGTTGGCAAGACTACGGTAAGCTACCCCCCTGCCAGGCGAGGGGTTAGGCCTGAAGCTGCTGACAATAGGCACATGGTGGAGGCTCCTAAGGGGCACAGAGGGCATGAAACACAGCGAGTGGTATCCTCGGGGGGCATCGCCAGTGACAGAGTGTCAGTGGCATTGCAATGCGGTATTTCCCCAGCCAGGCGAGGGGTTAGGCCTGTCGCGCGCACCAACCTAGACGGCGAGGGGACCCTTTCGACCAGATCGACGAAGTCTTCCACGACGGTGGTATGGTGCACTACTAATGGGTTCAGAGGTGCAGCTCGAGTTCGAGAATTCCCAAGAGCTGCAGAAGTGCACGGACTCCGACCTGATGGTCCCCGAGGTCGGCACCGTGCTGAATTTCAGCGACGTCGTCTCCCTCTTCCTCTGAGAGGGGGCGCGGCCGCCGTCGTTGGCGGCCGCGACGGAGCGCGGAGCGGCCAAACCGCCCGCGTTCGGCCCCTGGGGCAGACCCGCGTCTCGCGGCCCGTCTCATCTCATCTCCTCCTCTTCTGCTCCTCCCCCTCCTCTTCCTCCTCTTCTGCCTCGTCCTCCTCCTCCTCCTCCTCCTCCTCCTCCTCCTCCTCCTCCCCCCCCTCCTCCTCCTCCTCCTCCTCCTCCTGTTCCCTCTCTTCCTCCTCTGCTTCATCTTGAAAGTAAAAGTATTATCAATATTCTCATCCTCCTCGTCCTCCTCCCTCCTCCTCCTCCTCCCTCCTCCCCCTTCCCTCCCTCCTCCTCCTCCTCTTCCTCCTCCGTCTCGTTTTTCTCCCCCTGCTCCTCCTGCTCCTCCTGCTCTCCTCCTCCTCATCCTCCGTCTCGATTCTCCTCTCCTCCCTCGCTCCCTTCCTCCCCTCCCTGCCTCCTACCTCCTCCTTGTCCTCCTCCTCCTCCTTCTCCTCCTCCTCCTTCTCCTCCTCCTCCTCATCATCATCCTCCCTGCCTCTTGTTCCTCCTCCTCCTCCTCCTCCTCCTCCTCCTCCTCATCCTCCTCCTCGTTCTCGTCCTCGTCCTCCTCCTCGTTCTCCTCATCCTCCTCGTCCTCCCCCTTCTCACCCTCCTCCTCATCCTCCTCCTCCTCCGCCTCCTCCTCGTCCACCTCATCCTCCTCGTCCGTCTCTTCCGTCTCGTACTCTTCTGATGCGTCTTACTAGTATGATTAGTAGTGTGACTGTTAGTAGTAGTAGTAGTAGTAGTAGTAGTAGTACTATTACTACTAGTGGTAGTAGTAGTAGTAGTCGTAGTAGTAGTAGTAGTAGTAGTAGCAGCAGCAGTAGTAGTAGTAGCAGTAGTAGTAGTAGTAGTAGCCGTAGTAGTAGTAGTAGTAGTAGTAGTAGTAGTAGTAGTAGTAGTAGTAGTAGTAATAGTAGTGGTAGTAGTAGTAGTAGTAGTAGTAGTAGTAGTAGCCGTCGTCGTCGTCTTCGTCGTCGTCGTAGTAGTGGTAGCAGCAGGAGTAGTAGTAGTAGTTAGTAGTAGTAGTAGTATCAGTAGTAGTAGCGTAGTAGTAGTAGTAGTAGTAGTAGTAGTAGTAGTAGCAGTAGTAGTAGTAGTAGTAGTAGTAGTAGTAGGTAGTAGTAGTAGTAGTAGTACTAGTAGTAGTAGCAGTAGTAGTAGTAGTAGTAGTAGTCGTAGTAGTAGTAGCAGCAGCAGTAGTAGTAGTAGTACTAGTAGTAGTAGAAGTAGTAGCGGCAGCAGCAGTAGTAGTAGTAGTTGTTGTTGTTGGAGTAGTAGTAGTAGTAGTAGTAGAAGTAGTAGTAGGAGTAGTACTAGTAGTAGTAGTCGTAGTAGTAGGTAGTAGTAGCAGTAGTAGTAGCAGTAGTAGTAGTTGGAGTAGTAGTAGTAGTAGTAGCAGCAGTAGTAGTGCTGCTATTAGGAATTAGTCATATATTAGTAATGTTATTCTTATAATTAGTATTATGATCAGTATTAGTAGTAATGATAGTAGTGGTATTAATACCTTCATGATTTTCGTTGTTGTTATTCCCTACCTAGGCTCTGCCTTGAAGGGTTCTTACTGTGTGGGCTTAAAAGGCCGGGCAGTGGAACCCGCCCCAGGCGGTTCCCCCAGGATCCGCCCCGCGGTTCCCCCAGTGACGTTCCCTTAGCTTAGCGTTGCTTATCTCATCTTAGCTTATCATATTTGATATTAGCTTAGCTTAGCTTCATCTTAGCTCAAGTTTATCTTAGCTTAGCTTACCTTAATCTTAGCTTCGCTCAGCTTTAGCATAGCAGAGCACAGCCTAGCATAGCATGTCGTAGCATAGCATAGCGTAGCACAGCATATCCTAGCATAGCGCAGCATAGCATAGCATAGCGCAGCATAGCATAGCATAGCATAGCGCAGCACAGCACAGCACAGCACAGCGCAGCATAGCATAGCATGGCATAGCAAAGCATAGCATAGCATAGCAGCACAGCAAAGGCAAAGCAACAGCAGCGACAGCAAAGCAAAGCACAAGCAACGCAAAGCAAAGCAAAACAAAAACGAAAGCAAAGCGAAGGAAAGGCAAAGCAAAAGCAATGTGCGACAGATGCCGAGCTAGCCTCGATGGCCGGACCGGAGCCCCCGCAAGCAGTGCCTTCCGTAACCATGTAGCATAGCATAGCATAGCATAGCGCAGCATAGCATAGCATAGCATAGCATAGCATAGCGCAGCATAGCATGGCATAGCATAGCATAGCATAGCATAGCAACTAATGCTGCTTTCCTAGGGGCTCCAACTTCTAGGTAGGGTCGCACTGGGGTAATTACTCCTCTTCCTCCTCCTACTCGTGATATTTCTTCTGTTCCTTCTCCTCATCCTCCTCCGCCTCCTCCTCCTCCTCCTCCTTAGTCTCCTCCTCCTCCTCCTTCTTCTCACCTCCTCCTCCTCCTCCTCCTCCTCCTCCAACTCACCACCACCACCACCACCACTATCATCATTATCATCATCATTATCATCAGCAGCAGCATCATCATCAGCAGCATCATCATGAACATCATCATCATCATCATCATCATCATCATCATCATCATCATCATCATCATCATCATCAGCAGCAGCAGCAGCAGCAGCATAATCACCATCAGCAGCAGAATCATCGTCAGCATCAGCATCATCAGCATCATCAGCATCATCATCACCATTATCATCATCAGCATCATCATCAGCAGCATCATCAGCATCAACAGCATCAGCATCAGCATCAGCATCAGCATCATCATCACCATCAGCATCATCAGCATCAGCATCAGCATCATCATCAGCATCAGCATCATCATCAACAGCATCAGCATCAGCATCAGCATCAACAGCATCATCATCATCATCATCATCATCATCATCAATATCATCATAATCATCAGCAGCATCAGCATCAGCATAACTAATCATCAGCATCAGCATCATAAGCATAATCATCATCATCCTCATCATCATCATCATCATCATCCATCATCATCATCATCATCATCATCATCATCATCATCATCATCATCATCATCATCCACTGCCCGGGTTCCAGAAGAACGGCCGTCGAGCAACGACTGCGGCGGGCGCGGGCCGTGTCCCACGTGAACACGTCCTCCGGCGGCGCCCCCTCAACGAGCCCGTCGCGCGCTCGCAGCGGCGGCGGCAGCGGGCCGCTACCGGGAAGCGGGCGGCGCAGAGGTTCCTGGCTCCCGCGACCCGGGAGGGAGGGAGGGAGGGAGGGAGTCTCATCCTCCTCCTCTTCCTCCTCCTCCTCCTTTCGTTCTTGTTTTTTGTGTATTATTCTTATTATTAAGAAGGTTACTGATCTTGTTATTGTGACCACTACTCTAAATCGCAATAGTACTGTTACTAGTCCTCCTTGGTCGTATTAGTATTACTATGTTTCTTCTTTGTGATACGCTTAGTATCAGTATCATTTGTAATGTTGGCATTACTCTCCTTCGTCATTTGTAATGTTGGCATTACTCTCATTAGTATAAGTATGATGCATCAAATATGATGATGAGTACTTTTCTTAATATTGTTATTACTACGATTCGTATAGTTATTCCCCACATCCAAAGTCGGGCTCATGTTTTCTCTGGACACCCTCCACGCAGGAACCTCACCTCCCTGCCACTCTCCGCCTGACTCACGCAATCACCCCGTCACCGGTCATCATCACCGTCGGTCATCATCATCATCATCATCACCACCTCCATCATC